CTTTGCATTGATATTTATAGTACACTATATGCTGCAAGTTTTATTCTGGCCTCTTTGTGTAATCCATGTTCGACTTCATTTTTTAACAGCATAGTAAAAGAATGAAAAATGTTGCACACTAAAGTGTTTTCAAAATTTGTATCGATATCTAAGGCACACTATGCTGCAAGTCTTGTTCTGGATTCTAACAAAGGGATGAAAAATGGCGCACGAACGTTATCCGTATCGAACCGCAGAAATCATAACGCACCGTGATTCTCAACGTCACGTAACCGTGAAACGCGTCGATCCGGCTCGCAATTTTGCACAGCAGCGGTCGCTAGTAAAAAAAGAAACGTTACTCGGTTGGCCAGTTCGCAACTAGGAAACATTTTCGATAGTTTTAACGAGCATGAAACGTTAAAGCGAGCGAGGAAACGGTACGGCGATAGAAGGAGCGAAGGTTTCACCGTAATTTCGCGTTTATTTGTTCAACGTGGCGTACGCGTCCCGCGACGCGTTTTATTGCACCCGGGGATAATTTAGTGCGTCGTATACGGGCGACAGTAAAAACGACGGGCTAGCAACGGGGCAGGTGGCCGGCAGGCAAATAAAATCTTCGAGTGTTACTTTGTCGCCGATTTCGGGCGTAACGCGGGTACACCCGTTCACCGGAAACGTGTCATTTAACCGCAATAAGCCGACGTCGTTACCGGACGACTATTTCGCCACTCGTAAACGCGCCGCTTCCCGAACGAATAACGCCCTATTACTATGCCCACGAATAGTTCTCGCCTCGTAAAACAAAACTGACCCATAATTCTATTATGGAGAATCCGGATGGGTTACAGGAGAAACAGAAAATTATTCTACATAAATCAACTTCGACACAATTAGTCTAGGTTTATAAAACTTATAATATACTTAAAAGGAAAGTTTATGATAAAGTACATGTTTTATAATAAATCAAATTCGACGTGCAGCAGATGAAATTATGAAGGGCCATAAAATTTGTGGTGCCATTAAAAAAATGCATGTTTTATGATAATAAAATGTATACTTTACGATAAGACAAAATTTAACTTGCGGTAGAAACTGGTAGTTAGTCTATGAAATTTGCAGTATCCTTCAGAATATTTAATGATTATAAAAAACAAAAAGTATGTAAATTTAATTATGCACAAATTGATAGAATACTATAGTGCTCGAATATTAACCCCCTTGTAACATCATGTCTTATAACATCATATTATACTTGTAACTCATGTTCCAATGTGATAAATCAGACCGACCTGACGTAACAAGCACTCGAACATAACTCGAAAAATTGAATAACATTACGGGTCAAGTTTGGTATACGTTCATCCGCTTACCCTTTTGATCTCCCAATTGCGAGCGCATCCTGTTAATTATGAATAAGCGGATAACGCCGATTACCGAACGGATTCAAGTTCAGATCGATCCGATTAATCGAACTATTTGGGTTATCGCGCGGTTCGTTTTCTGAAACAGTTGCAGGAATAATTACAGGCCTCGAATGAAATATCGCCGATGCAAATGGAGGAAACTCGTTTAGCAAACTTCCTGGTGGAATTCGAGTCCGGGGGAAAACGTGGAAACGATTACCCCGATTGAAAAGTACAATATAACAACGTTAATGAAACGTTCGAAAGGAAAGTGTAACGTTATGATAGTCTTGGCGGATAAAAACGGACGAATCGAAGCGTTTCCAATCGATTACAAAGCAACGAGCGTCGCCAGGCCATCGGAAGAAAAAAAACAGGGCCTCCTTATTGGTCGTAGAAAGTCGCCGGTGCGAAGAAAGATCCGTGAAATCCGTCGTACGACCGCGATTCTCGCTCGACGAACGTGTAATCGGGGTGAACAAGGTGGACGTAGGAAACGCGACTCGAAAAAAGAACGAAAGGATTGACGTGGAAAATGCTAGGCTCGCGGAACGGTGCTTGTCACCGCAACAAAGTATCGTCCTCTTCAACGGCAATTATCCCTTTGAACAGGAGTGACGCGATAAGTAATACGGAGGGGAGACGTTAAAAACTGGTCGAACCACGACTACACGCGAACGAAAATTAAAAGGGATTCGAACGAAAATGCAGTTGATGCGTTAATTCGTTATAAAAAATTCGAGAACTTATCCGGAATTATCGGGTAAAGCCCCTATCTTTTACGGAGCTATGGGGTATTTATGCAGATATTCTTTTTCGTAATATATACGAATCTTGCTCTCGACTTTTTGCGGGTGTTTGCTCTTTCAGGTGGGTGTTTGCTTATTGAGCTTGTTAGTTAATCGAACACTGTATTGATGTTTCGCGACGAGTTGTAAGAGCATTGAGTTTGAAATTGAGGGACGCTAAACTTTCGTTCGTGTGGTTCAAGAAAAATTGTCAACGAAAGACGATAGTTGATTCTCGCTTTAGGGGTTGTACGAGGTAGAAGATTAAAGAAATGATAAGTTGGTAACACATTGAGTTTACAGAGTCGAAAATGAGGGACGTTAAACTTTCATTCGTATGGTTTAAGAAAAATTGTCAACGAAAGAAGATAGTTGATTCTCGCTTTAGGGGTTGTACGACGTAAAAGATTAAAGAAATAAGTTTGTAACGCATTGAGTTTTCAAAATCTCCAACGTTGTCAGCATTAAATTCATAACGGTTGTATTTTCAACGCGTTGTGAAGATCTTTTGCATCCCCACGTTACACGCGTTGTGCATGGAGGAACGCGTTGTACCCTTCCATAGCGTATTGGTCCGCGCGTAACATAAATCCACAGCGCACGAGACTGGAGGTTAAAGGGTTAAAACCCGAGACAATCATAATTTTTGTCGCAGTACGGTTACATCTACCCCGCGAAGAAGTGTTGTTCGTCCGCGCACATATTTCACAGCTTCGTTCGTCTCGCGTGCGCGCGAAAAAATTAGCATTTTACAAATCTCCTTCCGCGTGTACTCGCACGCAGCCAGTCACGTCGGTTCGATCGAAACACGAGCGCCGAGGAAAACGATTTTTTTTTCCTTCCTCCGCCTTACCCTCGCGACTTCTCGTTTACAAGCGCGCCGCCTGATTAAGCGGTATAAGCGTACGCTGACGAACTTTTACCGTTACCAGCCTCTTTTATTGCGAGGGCAGGCTAATGAACCGCTTGCGCCGCGCAAAAATCTACATTTAACAAATTTCCGTGCTCGCGACGCGGACACTCGACCGGCGAATAAACGAGCGGACGGGATAATTTAAGGCGTAACCCTCGCGATGTTTCTCCGGACTTAACGGACAGTCGTTCCCGAATCTCCTGGATCGTTCGTTCTCTCCTTTTATTTTTTGCGTTATTCGACCGGCAATAAGCTACGCACGCAACTCGTTACGTCGCGTGTTACCGCCCCTGGCTCTTTTTTCAAACATCGATGCCTAAAAACCTGTAATCCTCTTATTTACAGAGATCTTTATTAAGGAACACTTTCTGTTTATCACCGGGTATTCTATCTGTAAGGGATGATCTTTCGTTGACAAATTTTTCTGAAAATACACATTAACTAATATGAACATACACCAGTTATTTGTTT